GGAAATGGACTAAAATAATGAAATCCTTTTACCCAGGCTCACATTTTCAATCCCCATTTTTGTTTTTGTACTGCCAACTGGGCACCATTTGAGCTATCCAAACAGGGCTACACAGGAAAAAAAACCTTGCTGCTAGTCTGTGACTTGGGTTCACAAACTGCAGGGCTGTTTCATAGCTGCGTAGAGTTTCAGGAAAAGCAGACTGCACTGAATAACTTACAGCCCTCACCAGGTATCTTTCCTAAATAGCAAGTGGTTCAGATTTTCTCATTCTGTCTTGAGCCTTTTAGATAATTTGGCAGCCTTCAGCATCCTGAAGGGAGGTTCCAAAGAGGATGGAGAGAGGCTGTTCTCAGTAGTGACGGTTGGCAGAACAAGGAGCAATGGTCTCAAGTTACAGTGGGGGAGGTCTGGGTTGGATATTAGGAAATACTATTTCACTAGCAAGGGGTAAAGTACTGGGATACATTACTTAGGGAGGTGATGGAATCTCCATCCCTAGAGGTTTTTAAGTGCCGGTGTAATGTCAAAAGTTCCAACCTTATAGGAATGTGCTACACGTAGCAATTTCTTATTGGCATGATCATAAGGGAGTGCTACTGTAGGAAACAGCTGCTCGGCTTGACAAAGCCCTGGCTGAGATGTTTTAGTTGGGATTGGTCCTGCTTTGGACAGAGGGCTGGACTCAATGACCTCCTGAGGTCTCTTCCAGCCCCAAGATTCTAACACCTTTCTAATAATGACCCACAGGATGCTACACACCCTTATTTTTATGGAAATATGTTTTAATATAAATATGCACAACTCAAATATACTTTATGCAAACAGGGAAAGTAACCTATCATTCAAGAGTCTGTAATTCCCTGAATGTGAATGTTCTTTGTGTGTACGTACTTCCCCTATATGTGAAGTTAGAAATAAAGTGTAAACTGTTTATTAGTTGAGGTCTTCTAGTGCACAACCTTAGGGGTACTTAAGGAATTTAATGGCTTGGTGCTCAAAACAATGATCTGTCAATTATTTTATTTTTCCTGTAAGTTAAATTGTGGTTGGCCCTACAAAGACATATCACCTGGTGCTGGAAGCCATCTTGACTTTGGTATTTTTTCTGGGAGAGAGGGGTGGGGAGAATTGAAGAAAGGATTCCCACCGTACGTAACGGCTACACACCTAGCCCTTTGATCTCCAGGGCACACATCTACCAAGCTAGACCTGTTTAAGGGAGGCTCATCATTTCCTAATTCTCTCCCGTCACAAAGGCTATTTAAAAATAAACCCTCCTCAGTCAGTTACAACAGGACTGTGGCAGCGATGTGGATGGCTCTGATGCCTTTGATGTGAACTGCAAAGTTACATCATCTGGTTGTCCTTTCTTGAGCCTGTAGGCCTTGATCATGCAAGTGCTTCGCTTTTTGAGCAGTTCCATTCACTTCAGTGGGACACCTCACTTCAGTGATAAAGCTTGGCATGTGGATGTGTTTGCAAAGTTGGAGCTTTAAGGTATGTATAGGCAGCCTCAAAAAGTTTTATCTAGTTATTTTGACATAAGAAATAGCAGGTGTTGCTGACTTATTTTTCCCTGGAGGACCATGCCAATCTGGGGAAGACCTGAAATATGGCAAATAAGTTGAGAAGGCCTAAACTACAGCAGGGTTCAAAAAAAGAGCTAGATCAATTCTTGGAGGCTAGGTCCATCAATGGACCAAGATGGGCTGGGATGGTGTCCCTAGCCTCTGTTTGTCAGAAGCTGGGAATGAGCAATAGGGGAGGGATCACTTGGTGATTCTGTTCACTCCTTATGGGACGCCTGACGTGGGCCACTGTCAGAAGACAGGTGGACCTTTGGTCTGACCCAGAATGGCCGTTTTTATGTTCTTATATCACAGCGGGAAGCTGACACCTGACTTGCAGCACTCCCAACCCCAGTTTGAGTGGGAAGACACTTAATCCTCAGTTGAGGGTATGACTCTAGACACGTCTCATTTCCGGGTCTCCAGCCATCCCACAAGGTCCTCCAGGTTGGTCAGGCCCTGGAATTTCTGATGAAACAGAAATATTAGAAGAAACCCTTTGACCCCCTAGTTGCTACAGAAGGAAAGAGGAAAGGCAAAATAGCCATTTCTGGGCGGCTTGGCATTTCATCCTTCAAAAGACTCACTCCACTGCTGAACACCAAATAGTCAAACATCCCATTGACATTAATGGCACAATGAGCCTTTCTAGCCCCACAAGGAGGAAGAGGAAGAAGCGATGGAAACTGAAGAATGTAACCAAATGCGATCCGCTCCATTGCCACAGCAAGACAGAGTGGCTGGACAGCTTTGCTCTAATGCACCACTGTTGAACACCTCTGAAAAGTGATCTTCAATAAACAAGGAAGAGGGTGGCTGGCGAGAAGCCCTGAAATAGGATTGTCCTTCCTTCACGTGACTGGGAAATTATCTTATCTGACAAATCAATCAGGGTATGTCTACACTACAAAGTTAGTTCGAACTAACTTTCATAGGTGCTACACTAGTGCTCTGTTAGTTCGAATTTAATTTGAACTAACGGAGCGCTTAGTTTGAACTAGGTAATCCTCATTCCACGAGGATTAAGCCTAGTTCGAATTTACTAGTTCGAATTAAGGGCTGTGTAGACCCTTAATTCGAACTAGTGGGAGGCTAGCCCTCCCCAGGTTTCCCTGGTGGCCACTCTGGCCAACACCAGGGAAACTCGTCTGCCCCCCTCCCGGCCCCGGACCCCTTAAAGGGGC